CCCGTAAATAAAACATCATACAGTCATATATATTACGATTATATCAGCTTGGTCTGCGATTAATTATGCTTAAGAATAACGTCATGAAGTTTTTTAGGGTATATATTTTATGTATGCACGTCAAAAGAATTTTTTTAAGGGAATAATATAATTATGCAAAATCAAATATATATAACACATATGATGTCACATTTTCTATTTATCTCTATTTGTAACAATCTAGCTAGCTAGTTACTTATAGGTTCTTGATAATAAAAGTGAGAAATGTGCTGGATAGACGTATTTCGGGTGTCAATTTACTTCTAGGAGTTAAGGTTGAGATAGTTTATGAGAATAACATTCATTTAATTATCCAGTTAATCAATTAAACTACTAAGGTTGTAATATGAGAGAGTTTATGAGAATCTTTCAAAAGTTGGAGAATAAGCATATATATATATATATAGTCGTTTTAGTTTAGCGTAGCCTAATGTAAGCTAATTTTACAGTATGTTATTGAGTTTTATTATTTATTTAAACTACAAATTAATTATCAAAGTTTGAGACATGATATTATATGTGAACTTTTAATAGGTGAAACTCAATTCCTAATTTACTAACACAAACCAAAAAATTCATTTAATCTAAAAAAAAAATAATAATAAATTCCGACTTAAAACGAGTGAAAAATCGTTCATTAAAAATTAATGTGGGAAAAAATAAAAAATTTTCAGGACAAAGAAGGGACTTTGATGTAGAAAATTCTGATTGAGTTATGCATAGTTATTGGCCACTAGTTTATTCAGCCGATGGGCTCCTTTCATACAGTACACCAGCCCTGGGTCGGCCTTTGCTGTAAGCTACACAATGGCAAAGACCATCGGCCAAATCCCCCAAAATGGCCACCTTCTTCTTCCCTTCTAGTCTCAACCCGAAAACCCTAATTATATGCACCTGATTTCAGGTTTTCGCAAGTAATGATATTATATTGGTTTAACCAATAAATTAACATTTAATTCATCTCTTTACATCATATTATTATTAGGGGCGGAGTCAGGATTTCTGCACCGGGTGGGCCAAAAATAATTAAATATAAATAAAAATAAAATAATTATTTTAAATATATACAACATTTTTTGAAATCATTGAAAAATCACTAAAAATAGCATCTAAACTAAATGTTTTGCTACCTTTCTTTCAATATAGTCAAAAAATCATTGAAATGACTCAAAATAAAGCAAAATTTGAGGCAGTGATGAATTGAACCCGAGTGCTTCACATTAAAAGTTAGATTAGTTACCAATAGACTACAAGATAATTATATGAATTAATGCTCTGGCCGAGTCCTACTTATTCAAATTTTATCTAAATATCCGTCAGGTCCTTGGGGACCGGACTAATCCGGTGGTAGGGCTTTTCGGTTTTCTCGGTTAATCAATAACCAAAAGGTCGGTTACCGGTTAACGTCGAAGCCAGACACTCCTACCGCCAACCGCCTGACGGATCCCATCGGTTATCCGACAACCGACTGATAGGTTACCGGTTAGTTGCTTGGTTAACCGAGATAACCGCAACGACACAGTCGGCTCGGTTATGACCGATTAACCGAACCAGACAGCCCCCATATACAAACAAGATCTCTAAAATTGCTTAAAATTAAACGTACAACCCTACATTTCTACATCTAAATCACTCCACAAGTCAAGTTTCAATCATTTTTGCATAGAAAATAGATTTAAATCACCAAATTAATGTCTCAAATACTAGAACATAAAGTTATAAACTTCATAAAGTCACAAATTACAATAGATCCAATCCAAATAGCATCAACAAGTCACCACCAAATCATCACTTATCAACAGAAGAACAACCAACATCTACATAACCCTTTTCTTTCAATTGCGGCAAGAGGTCATGACCAACATCGTCATATCCATCTTTCTCATACTCTTCCTCCGACACATTTTCTTCACCCTCCTGCTCATTCCCATATGGAATGTTCAGACTTGCATCTGCATTGGCAACATTACCAACGTCACTTGCACTTTGCATTCTAGACTGGAAAGTAGTATTAACTGAGTAAGAAAAAAGAAAACAAAGTGTTAGAATATTCATACATTGAATTAGGTGGAAAGAAATAGTATCTGTTTATTTGAACAAACAATAATTAAAAGAGTTTTAGAACTTACCGCTTTCCAAATCCATGATCTCTTCATCATCTTCCCTATCGTCGCTCTCTCCGCCCCGGTAGTTTGATACTTGATCCAATCCTCTATACAAATCAATGCCTCCAACATGATATCACTCAAAGAAGACCTGAATGGACTGAGAATCCGACCACCACAGCTGAAGGTTGCCTCTGAGGCAACATAAGAGATGGGAACAATTAGGATATCCTTAGCCATCTCAGCAAGAATCAGATATGTTACTGAGTGTCGAGACCACCAACTCAAGATGTCAAACTTGGCATCATCACTCTCCTCCTTGATGCCATCAGTTTGACATCTTAAATAAATGTCAAGATCAACAGAGCTACATCCTGTATCCTGCAGAAGTGCTTCCCTTTTCCTCTTCCTAAGCCTCTCCTCGATCTGCTTAGTCCTATCACCACCAGCTGTGCTATCACCAGTGGTAGGCTCAGATGTCGAGGAGGGTGCTTTTGATCCATACTTCCCTTTGTAAACCTCAAACAGCTGTCGCATTTCCGACCTAATGCAGTTAACCATTTCTACTCCCTTCACATTCCCATACATCATTGCCAAAACCTCCGACACCAAATCAAGTTTACTTCTTGGATCAACCGCATGCTATATAAATTAAGTGGTTCACCTTCATGTTCTTCTCGTTCACAACACTTGACTCAAGCCAATACTTTTGTACTTTTTCCTCAACCTTCTCAGCCATCTTTTGTATCTCTTCATGCGAATCATTCTTCAATTGCTCAATGATGTCATATACCGTAACAAGCTTCTTGAAGAAGATATGGATTTCACATATTTAGTTCCTGTACAATGAGAAGATAACACGGAATATTAGAATAAAACAAATAGAAATGGGCAAATGGTTATAAATTTTAAATAAAACAATGCAATTTAGAAATGTCACTTACCAGAGACTAGAAGGGTCAAGTCATTGAAGACTTTCAGATAGTCTTTCAACTTCTTAATCATCTGCCAATCTTGATTAGTTGGAAGCCCGCTTCTTGAGTCAAGATAATCTCTAAGAGAATGATTGTGTGGACTTGAATACAAAGTTGTAAACACTGCATCAAAACTTTATGCTGAGTCTAACATGGTATAGGTGGAGTTCCACTTGGTCGGTACATCCAAAGATACTAGTTTGGTTGACTCCACATGCAAAAATTCCATGCCATTCTTGAACCATAACAACCTAACTGGTGAAGACCTCACCCACTTCACACAATCTCGAACTCTGTCCACAACACCACCAACCACTTTTAGTCCATCTTGTACCACCAGATTAATGATGTGTGCAACACATCGAAACTGCAGAAATTTCCCATCCAGCAAATCACACCCATACTCCTTTAGCTTCGTTCTCATGCACTCACTGAGAACATCATTTGAAGTTGCCTTGTCCATGGTCATGCATAACAGATTATTCACCTTCCACTCTTTAAGAACTCATGCAAGCTTCTCTGTAATATCAACTCCAGTATGACTTGTGATGAGAACAAATGCTATCACCTTCTTCTGCAACTTCCAATCACCTCCAATAAAGTGAGCAGTAGCACACATGTAATTCTTGTTGTTATCAGAAGTCCATGTATCCGTAGTGATTGAAACTCTTCCTTGTCTCCTTGATTCAAAAAAATCAATTAAATCCACCTTTTCATCCAAGAAGATATGAAAGCAATCATCTCTTATAGCTTTCCTCCCGGGTATCCTAAACAGTGGTTGAACATCATACATGAATGGCTTAAATCCTTCCCTCTCTACAAAGCGAAATGACAATTCATCCATAATGATCGTACTGCTAATGCATATCTAGCTTTTCCCTGATCAAACTTCCATAAACCACTTACTTGACCACCTTCCGATGTCTGCAATACTGTCTGATTTTTTGTTGCTGCCAACTTAGCCAAACATGAGTACATGTGGTTATTCATTGCAGTGGTCCCATTTTTGTGAGGATGAGCTTTGATTAGAGTATGACAGTGTATGCACTCTCCCATTGGGTAGCTGTCAACTATCACCTTCTTACACACCTTCCAACAAGGAGCTTTACCCGCCATCTTCAACCATTTCTCGCAGTAAAAAATGTCTTCTGTAGCTGTCTCTGAATCAGAAGCGCTCGTGTCAACATAAGGAGTCTCCACAGGCGTACTTCCACTATCGACAGGGGCGGGAATCGATGGAGTTGATGAAGACGGTTCATCTTTAGTAGCTTGAACATGTCGACTTCCTGTATGCCCACCACGACCCCGGGTCCGAACAGGAGTAGTCTCACCACCACGACCTCGAGGAGCCAGAGGTCTCCCACCACGAGGAGTAGTCGCAGCAGTAGGGACACCTCGCCCACCACGAGGAGCCGGAGGTCTCGCCCTACAGAAACAATTACACAAATTGAGAGATTGAAACTCAATTACCGAATCAAAGAAATTCTAACATATTCTGAATCCAACCATTTTTAATACTTCAATCATACATTCTTGTTTCGACACTATTCATGCCATAACTTGTGATCTGAAAGTATCTAATCTAATCAAGTAGAAGTCATGACTTCATGCACACGTTAACTACTTGCCAAGACAACAACAAAAACCAAAATGATAGCATGATTGTAGCCCTAAAAAAATCTAAATACTAGGCTACTACTTTCTTCGCTCTCTATGTAATTGATCTTTAACAGCTCAAAGCTCGATCTTCAGAGGGAGAACCAACCATTGTCCATTAACTTACAATGAGGTTATGTGCAAGTTTAATTCATCATCAATCACCAATTCATCATTCAAAAAAGTTAAAAACTTACATAATTATAAATTTTCAGTATAAAAGCGCCTCTGTTTGGGGAGGGAGATGGCGGTGCAGGCCTGCAGATGGGCATTGTTCGCCGAGAAGGAAGGGTGCCGGCGGAACTCTCGATGGGGGCGGGGTCGCACAGGCCACAGAGACAGACAACGCTGCACCACGGGGATGAGGAGGACTGCGAGCACTGCAAAGGAGGTCGAGGCGAGGTCGCAGCGACGGAGCGAATGTGCTGGCTGGCGGCGACTTCGCGTTGGCGGAGCAAGGGGCTGGCGGCAGCGCCTCTTTGGTTCGTCGTCGTCGCGGCACTACGCAGAGGAGAGGAGAGAACGAAGGCGAAGTCACGACTCGCGAAGAAGCAGGGGGGCGGCGTTTTCAATTTTGCTAGATTAGGTCAGGTCAATTAGGGTTAGAGTTAAGGCTCTTCAGGGGCGGCGGCGTTTTGGGGGCAGGGGGGGGGGGGGTGTGTTTCGGTTAGCCAGTTAACGGACACATAAATTGGCCATCCGACAACCGCCCGACTCATTGCATTTTTGGTTATCGGTTTAACCGGTGGTTAACCAACAACCGAATCTCCAGCCCTATCCCGGGGGGGGGGGGGGGGGGGGGGGAAGGGGGCATCCTACCTTCCAAGTAGCTCCGCCCCTGATTATTATTGTAAAAGACTATGGTTGTCATGCCGGTACAACCGGGCGCAAACGGCGTCGGTTATAATTTGAATGTTAAATTTTGTTGTTATTTGTTTGATTAAAGTATGAATGTTTAGACGTTTATGTTATTTGTTGTATTCAATTATATACTTTTGGATGTTAGCGTTGTTATATTTAAGTATGATAAATTTTTATTTTATTTTGGAATGTTTAAAAGAAATATGAGGTTTGTTCCCTTGCAAAATTACTAGGGAACCTCGTGGAAATAGGGATGGACAAATAATACAAATTGATTAGTTTAGGGTTGGCAATCAGATCATGTTGGGTATTTTCGGGTTGTGAACTTCAGTTACGGTTCGGGTCATGTTTGCTTGGCTGACTTCGGATCAAATACTGACCCAACCCATTCGGTTTCGAGCCGGGTTACAGGTCATTTCGGGTTATGAGCGTTCTCAGAAACAATATCAAACATGCTTCATATTTTCTTAAAGAACACAAAATTTTCACATATGCATGACAATAGTTTACTTAACACATGTCAATTAACGTATTCTCAAATCCTCCCACGCTAATGAAATGAAATAAAATTTCACAAATCGTCAAAAAACAATCACAAGAGTAATACTACTACAACAAACACATGATATCTGATTATCATTAAACTCCAAACATGTCATTCAAATCCTTGTAATTTTTTTAACATCTCACCAATTTATGAGTGATTTTATCATTTTGGGAGTGATATATAAAATGGAACGGGTCTAACGGGTCAACCCGCTAACCCACCCAACCCGACCGTAAAAATTACGGGTTATCGGGTTCGGGTCATTCGGATTTCGGGTTACAAAAATTTCTATTTTTCGGGTGGTTTCGAGTCGGGTTGTAATTTGCCAGTTCTAGATTAGTTGGTTGATTGGTCTAGTGTTGACATTGCCCATTTCAACGGCTATTACAAAGAGAACCTTTTCAGTAATGAAACATTGAAAACTTATTTGCGCAACAAAATGAGCGAAGAATTTCTCGTTGATTGCTTAATTATGTTATTTGAAAGAGAGTATGTTATTGGTATGGATGAAGACTCCAATACTAATGATTTCGCTAAATTAAATGATTGTCTTGTACACTTAACATTGTAAAGAAAATAAAATTATGGTTTTTTTAATGATATATAATTTTCTAATGAAATGCGGCCCAATACTTTATTGTGTCTTGGATTCGCCGCTGAGAATTCACAAGTATTAAGTAAGTTATTAATCATTTGGAAGTGTTGTGAATTCCACACTCGATATTGAGCTATTGAGCTATGATTCTACCAACTAATGAGTTGTTTTACTTATTTTTATGTGTTAAGTAAGTTATTAATCATTTGAATTAAAATGGAAGTGCGATAAAAAAATAATTTCATTCATCATTTAGTACAAACTATAGTTTTTATTTCCAGCACCTAAGCATGCTTAGACAAGGCCTAAACAAGGTAGGAGATGGGCAACATCTCAACTTTTGCCCTATGCATAACCCCTTCTTAAACCTTGCTTTTGACATGGATAGAATGTTATTTATACTCTCTCAGTATGTCGTTACATAGAAACTTAATTATGAAATGAAACTAGGAGTTCTAATCCGTTTAGTCTTAGTTAATTACTAAGTAAAAACTGCAAACCGAAAGTCGAATCGATAAGCCTTATCGGGTTATCGCCAGTCATAAGTTTAGTAAGCAGTTAGTTTGGCGGTTAACCACTAACCAATGACAACCTCCTCGTATGACAATTTTCTTTAGTTATGTTTGAAATTTTGTATGGTGTTTTTTAATATCATACAAATAATACAAAATAATTTAGCTACACATGTACAATGTTAACATATAATAATAATCACAAAACAAACCCATCAATACAACAACTATCGTGAATTCATAATCCAAATCTAAATTCTCATAAAATTGCAAATAATCAAACTTCACAATCCATTAACAAAACCAACTAGCCAGACAAGAAACACAAGTACCACCACAATATCATCATCATTCACAAACATAAAAGAACAAATACTATTAGCAACTAAGGTTCACTCTGCCGTTGACAAAGTAGAGTCAGAGAGGGGGTGACGTTCGGATTCCAACTTTTGAATGCATTTGACACATTATGTGAATGGTTATTTACAATTGGGTGTGAATCATAATGTTCGGAATTGAATTTTGATTGGTTTTGAATTTTTTTTCCTTAACCAAAACCCAAAACCATGTGATTATCCTAGTAGGTGGCTATCGCTTTTCTTATTGAGTAACCACTAAGTAAAATACAACTAATCGAAATCGAGCCACTAAGAATTTTTGGGTTATCGGTTAACCTCTACCTATATTTATCGGTGTATCAATAACCAACTAACCGTTTGCCACCCCTAATGAAAAGTATAGAATAATATCAACTTATTAAAGGGGAACGCGTGGCCGGATGGGTAACCACAACAAGTGTCGCCTTCTTGGTGGGCTGGAATTGGAATCACTTGTACATCGTCGTTGAGGAACATATTTATATACGTTAATGGCGAAAAGGTTTAGTTTGTTGATAAGGACAGTCATGAAGAGATTCCCTGAGCTGTCATTCCCTCTAAGAATGTCCATTACACAAACAAACAAACATCCGTCGACAGAACCCTAACCCTAGTCGTGCACAGCCGGCCGGCCAAAGACAAAGTAGCAAACAAATTACCCTCCCCTCCTGCTTGATGACGAGGGAATGGAATAATATCCGATTCCGCATCCCTGTTATGTTTTTCATTCTGAAGTAGATTTTATTCCCTTCTCTCTCTCTCTCTCTCTCTCTCTCTCCGTACTGTGAACACATGGCTACGATCTCCTCTTTTTGGCTCACATCGTTGTTGTTATCCATTCTGCGGGGTGCGTGTTGCTGTTGTAGCTCGTTTTGGCTGGGCGGTCGTGCCAGTAAGTTCTAGGAAACGGTACACGTAAGCAAATACAGAGATCGATATACTAATAAAGATATTGCAAAGGAATTATTAATGCAAGACATCCAGCCGGGAAATAGCTAGGGCGCGAAGGGCGCCAGGATCTAAGGTTAAAGGCAGGGGTCCCTAGCTATTTTGGGGTTTGGGGGCTTCGTTCAGCCAATCTGCAGATTAATTAAGTCATATACTGTGGGGAAAGGGGGCTTGATTGATATAATGATATGGTTAATTATTCTCGAGAGATTTTGATACTCTGCTTGTGAGATTTGCTAAGATGAGATCATTGTACGAGGGGGAAATAATATGTCCTCTTGGGTTTACGGTTATGTGGCATGTATTTGAGTTTTTAGGGTCAAAATAACAAGATACCCAAACCATTTATGATCTTTATACATGTTGTCATATATTTTGTTAGTTCATTAATGGGATGTAGCACAATATAGCCTTATCGATGACCAAATAAGGTTCGGAGAGCCCTTGACAGTCATACAAAATCAAATGGCAAGAAACAAGACCGAAAACTGAAATGTCATAAACACCCAAAGGTAGACTGTGACCCCATCTTGAAAGATAACTGCTCACTTATAGCATTCTCGATAGAATGGTAGATGGAAATTTCCGAGTTTTGGATTAGCGCAACTCCTGAAAACGTTGTATAATTGATGAGTGGTGAAGCTTGGTCTAAAATTCATGAAAACTTGGCTTTTTATGATTATATCGGAAATAATCCGGCAAAAGGTGGATTGTTCAGGGTTGACAAGGCTTCTTCATGTTTTGGAGAGGAAGCACTGCGCATTGAGTCAAGTTCCACGCGCACCAAGCGGTAGCCGATGTCCCAAAACAACCGAAGACATGATCATCTGTGTCACTCAATTCTACTCAACTGATGGAGCATGCGCTGTAGTTCAAAGTGAGAGATTTCCAAGATATCTCCACCTCCGTTTCTAATAGGTAGACGAGTCGTATAGACGGTCTATCGATCTTTGACCATGGCACTCTTTACTACATCAATCCATGCCAGGACGCGGTGAATGAAGGCTTTAGTGGGTACGATCTTGTATGGAAAGATGTGATCATTTCTGGTTTTCAACTGGGACCAACATGTGATTACAAACTCATTGCCAGTGTGTTGATGCCGAATTCTTCAAAATCAAACCCTAAAGTTGATTACCGAAGAAAACATTATGATGAGAAGGTATATTGTGCTAGCTGATGCGTTGTCTTTCTTGAATGGTGAGCAGACAATCCTTGACGTACAGCTAACCAAAGGAAATGGTTGACGCGCGCGGGCTGGTCCTCTCCAACATTAGATAGTTTTCTTATCGGTATTTGGGGTCATGGTGTCTTGCCAATGTACTAGGTGAATAATTGGATCTGATAATTTGATCGGCTATGGATTGTGGAAAAAAGTGTAACTTCCATTGCATAGGTGAGAAGAGAGCTCAAAATAAAGATTGCCAATGCAAGTCGCCCTGCAAAGATAAGAGGCTTTGGCTTCCAAACTGAAAGTTTTTAAACATATAGGTTAAGCTATCATTCCATTTTCATAAAACCTGCATTGTTGGGGTCGTGACATAGCCCATGATGACTTTAATTAATTGACTCTCAGGAATCCCATTGAGTCTAGGGTCTCGCGGATGAACTCCCAGCTGATATGGTCACACGCGCTTTTGCAAGGTCAATTTTCACCATCATTTTCCCCCTCTTCCACAATCATGTTAAGAAACGGTGATATATTTTTCAACGCGGTATATTGTCCCTAGGGGGATTTGTAATTTCAGGATGCGGTTTGGCCTCCAATATATGTATCACTTACCTTTGATAAGATACGTATCATTCACAAAAGAAGCTCCGCCATCCACTAATAATGAGCTAAACAACATGTTGCAACTTGCAACATAGTGTCTTCCCATTCCCAACCGCATTAATATTGAAACTCCTAACATACATGGAGACTTAGCTAGCTAGGGCTTTTTGAGTTATGGGTTGAAACTTTGAAAAGTCCAAATAATGTGCAACTATGGGAACAGGGGCACATCTAGTGTCCAAATGCATTCAGGATTTCCAACTTCCAACTCACTTCAAAATATTCATATTTAATTTGAGACAGCCAGCCAGCGCTGAGAATAACTGTACAAATTAAGAGGCTCGTCCTTTCTCTGTATTTTTTTTTAATGTTTGCGAGTAAAATGAGAGAAGCTGGCTGGATTCACTGAATACATCCCATCTCCAAACGTTTAAATTTCAGGAGCAGTCGTTAGGTTTGAGCCGCAATGAAGGGCGACAAGGAGCGAGTTCAACGGTTTACCTGTCGGCGGTTTTCCCTCTCCTGTGTGTGTTTTTAATTGACTTAAAAATTATATTATCAGAATTTTCAAAAAGGCTACAGACTCACCGCCACGATGGGGGTTCCCTTAGCCGCGTTTTGTTTATTGAAAAGTTCTTCCTTCTCCTCTTTTCTCTCCATAAACACACAGAAGAGAAGGAGAGGATGAACCCTTTGATTTCTTTAATCAATAATTGGTTTCTCACTTTCACTTCATAAACTATTAAGGAAGACCCTTCCCACGTTCTGGTCACACCTTCAAATAGCGCATGCTCTAGCTAGGCTCTCTTTTCTCCTTTTGATGCTAAGTTGTTAACCACATTAAGTGGGCTTATTGTCATTTCTATGATGTTCGCATTTGAGTTGTTAGAGGAGGCATATGAGTTCATATCGATATTATATTAATTAGGTTCCGGAACATGTTATTCTAATTACTTGTTCAGATCGTTCGAAACTCATCTCATGAATATAGCTTACATAACGTAAGAGTAACAAGCTCACATAAAGCTCGAAAAAAGTGCAGATTTAAATCAGTATATAATTCTATTAGAATTCTCTTAAATGCTCTATTTTATCCTCGTTAAACTATGTGATTGTGGTGATTGATTCGTAAATATTCATAGTACTTTATGTATTACCTGGACTGGATTAGATGTAGAGTTTCGTGAATAGTCAAGAAAATTTTGGTTAATTAATAAGTACATTATCGAGTAAAGTCTCTTTGAAATGTCAAGAGCCTGTTGATCCCAATAACTCGAGTTGTTGTGAGAGATTCAATTCTGGATCATATACCACATACCAACACACCCCCTCAAACGAAAGCCACCATATGTGGGCTTGAAATTTGCACAGGCATCAGACACCATGTGCTAACAAATGGGGGTTACCGGGATTCGAACATAAGGCCTTTCGGTTACAGAAGGCTCTGATGCCATGTGAAGAACCAGTTGATACCAATAACTCGAGTTGTTGGGAGAGGTTCAATTCTGAATCATATACCACATACTAACATGAAAGACTGAACCGCATAAATCTTGTGCCTATATATAACTTTTTTTATTGTCATTGCTTAGCAACCCTTATATTAACAGAAAATCCGAAATTTGTTTCTTGAACGCAGGAAACATGACAACAAAGATGAGGATGAGTGGATGATTTATTGAAGCAGTAGTGTTAATAAAACTCCACATGGTAGCTATCTCCATCTCCCCATAATTAGTATTTCTACTGATTTGCCTCACTGGGAAGTAAACGTTGGTTATATATGGAATAATTAGTGAACACAATAAACTAGTTAACCCCAGCAGATGATTAGATGACCTCCCAATAATTAGGTCCTTAACAGTCTTTCTCTCTTCCCTAATGCTATAATTTACAATATCTTTAATCATGATCAGGTGGTACTAACAAGATAATTAATTGCGGAGATCATTAGTACAGCAGTGTAGTCTATTTTGTTGCTAACCCTTAATTAGCTCCCTCTACCTAAAGCATTATAATAGTAATTAGTTCCTCCCCCCCCTTATTACCTGCTTAATTGCAATTTAACATTAGAATAGAATTGCATGAAGTGGGGTCCGTCCATCTTAGTTGTACTGGGTGGACTCCTGGAGTTCAGTTGCAGAGAATTGGGACCTACCCTACAGAATGATTGCTAATATTTTTAACAATAAATCACAATAATAATTAAAAATATAAAATAAAATAAAAATTCCCCACATCCCATACAAGTCAGAAGTCAAATGCACCCTCTCACCCTCTTCCCTTTTTGCACCAGCAACATTCCCTTGTGCCCACAAACAGGTTGGGTATATATATAACCTAAAGCCATCCCTTGTCTCATAGCTCCAAAAACAAACACCATTACCCACTTCTTGTTTCAGCTCCTCTTCCTTCTCCTACTCCAAATACGCATAAAGAAGAAGGCAAAAAAAATGGAGTTCTTGGCAGCATTCCCTGATGCAGATTTCGACTTGAGCAGATACTTGTCAATGGAGAGTTATCACGATCAGGAAGAAAACATGATGGCCATGGTGGCTGCCGCCGGCGGCGAAGTTAATCACCAGAGCCTTCTTTGCTCGTTGGTGCCGGTGGAGATGATGAACTATAGCACCACCACAACTACGACTAACAGTAGTAGCAACGACTGCAGCGGCAACAACAGTCCATTGTTTGATCCCGCAGCTCATTTCACCGGCCAGGAGATTTCCTACTATGCTCCTTCAACAAATTTTTTCAACGCTGAGGAGGTTGCTAATTACAATATTATCCCTATGTCTATGAGCAATAATAATGGCACTTTCCCCTTCGAGGCTCCAGCCCTCGTTCCTTCCATGGGATGGCAGCTCAAGAGGAAGCTCGACGACGGCCTGGAATCACAAGTCCCCATTGATAGCCCTTCTCACAATAAACGACCTCGTATCACCAAAGATTCCGTAAGTAGTATCCTAATTATTTATCACGACTCTTGCAAAAAGAACTTTTTCGCGACCAAACAAGTCGTTTGGTCGCGAAAAAACTACTTTCTCAAGTAGTCCATGTCTAATAATAAAAATTTTCCGCCATATAAATGCAGAAAAGCAAGAGGAATAATCATAGATCGTGCGGCGGTAGCCCTAATCACGAGGAGGAAATCATAAGCAGCAACAACAACAATGTGGCTTACAATTGTGGACGTGACGGGCAAAGCTCGAGCAGTTGTAATTCCGAGGAGGAGGTCATGAATGGTTCCCAGGAGTACTCAAACAGCAACGGAGACTCCAAATTGTTTGCTAAAGAGAAGTCATCAAGAGCCAGCCGGGGATCAGCCACTGACCCTCAGAGCCTCTACGCTAGAGTAAGTCATCTAAGCTAGTTCTATATTAACTACTATGTTACTTAATGGTCGTGATTAAGGTTTAATCTGGAATTAAAAAAACTAATGATGATGAGCTTGATCTTTCTGCAGAAGAGGAGAGAGAGGATCAACGAGAGGCTGAGGATGCTGCAGACTTTGGTGCCCAACGGGACGAAAGTTGATATCAGCACAATGCTTGAAGAGGCGGTCCATTATGTCAAGTTCCTGCAGCTCCAGATCAAGGTAATTAATTGACATTAATTCCCTCGATTAATGATGCATGATTATAGTTAGCTGGTTTTATTATAACTAGGATGGATGACAAATGTCTTAATATTTTTATTTTGTTAATTGCAGCTATTGAGCTCGGATGATCTGTGGATGTACGCACCGATTGCTTACAATGGAGTCGACGTTGGCCTCAACCTGAAGCTCTCTACGCTTCTATGAACAGTAGTTGACACATAATTTGTTGGAACTGAGACTGCAGTACTGATGCAGCTTGGGAGCAACCTTGCTCTGTTTCTTTTGGTTCTTATTTTTTGCCTGGCTAATCAATTTAATTTTTGAACAGAGATGTGAACACCGATAAATGTACTTCTTATTATATAGTACAATATAAATATTATGAGAAAAAATTCAGCTAATTTTTTTTATGTAACTATCTATGTAAAGGCAAGCATTTGTTTGAGAAAAATATATATACATACACAAGAATTATGTTTAATTTGTTTTCCATCACGAGTACTACTGTACTAGAACAAGATATGATTGTTTATCACCCCCAAGCCTTTTTATATTTTGTGCAATTAATTCTCATTGATGTTAAACGTAACATGATTGAGAAGATGATCATGTGATAGAGCTCTCACTACAACAAAAGTGGCCTACAACAGCAGTTGTCGTCCAGCGGTTGTTCCTAACATCAGGGATTGTTGAAACCATACGGGCTTATAAGTCCATGTTCTTGCATCCACTGGCAATTGATGAGGTGGGTATCCGCCGTTATAATCGTTGTCGGAATTTTGCTATTTTAATTCTATGCAGTGATATAAGTTGTGGTTAAAGAAACCGATTCATGGGGAGAAACTCTAAAGTCCTATTATCACCCGGCCAAACTAATTTGCCAGCCCTCCCCCCCCCCCCCCCCCCCCCCCAAAACACACACACACACACAAATTTTATCACTAAAAGTTTGGTTTCCACTTCCCCATACCCTGCCCCAACCCAAAATCCCTTTGACTCCCATCTCTCTCCTTTCCAAAATTATTTTTTTTTCTCCCCGCTCTAGCACTTAGAACCCTAACTTCAACGTACACGAGAACCTCAAGCTCCGGCAAAATCAATAGTCTTTGCCCTACATCTCTGACCTTTGCTTTGCGGCTTGAAACATAGATTTCTGTTGCCTCACTACTTCGACCGTCATCCCTGTTTACCCTGCTACTTAGATGCTCGTTGTCTCCGGCCAGATCTCCTTCCCCGTCTGGAGCTCTAACCTTCGTGGAATCCAGGTTTGGCCATCTTTTCCCGTCTCCCTGGTTCTGCATCTGTCTATTCTCGTCCAGTGGTAAGAACTCATGTATATTATTTCTTTTTCTCGTTATTTAATTTGGGTTTATGGTGAACTCACACACACACACTCTCTCTCTCTCTCTCTCTGTTTCGCAGTTGGCTTTTAGCATTCAGGAGGCACTGTATAATGTGATTCCCGCAGAGGGAATTACCCGGCCCACAACGCCAAATTCCCCGAACGGGGATTCATGTAAATAGATCGATTTTTTGGTCCAGTGATCTTCCCCGTCCAGGACAGCTAAATATCCCATCGGGGATTTGGACCGGGTTTCAGGTCTGTCCGAGTTTTGTTACCTTTTTCGTTTAGAATTCTTTTCCTTTTGGGTGTTTTCATTAGGTTTATTTTCCATACCTATTTAAAGGATTGTAAGCCACGAATTTTAGCAGACTACTCAGATTATTCATACTTTGATAATGGAAAAACCCTTTTTGATTCGTTGAGTTTTTACTAATGGATTTGTCGTTGTTTGTTGGTGGATCTCTAGTATTCGAGCGAGCTCTATATCAATCAAGTATTCCCCTTGATTGTGGTCGAGTTGCTAGCCCTCCTTTACCTTTCGAGTTGTTGAGAAAAAATTCAGAGAAACCTTTTGTTCGTGAGTGTTTACTCTTGAATGTGAGTTTGGTGGATTCCAAAATCGTTGAGCTCTGTATCGATCAAGTATTCCCCTTGATCGTGGTCGGGCATCTACCCTGATATTGTTCTTGCCTCTTCCCGTGTGTTGAAGTTGCACGACAATCCTTTTCCATCCTATCCTTTTATTTTTGTGTTCTTGAGAAAAATCCCAGAAAAAACCTAAAAAGTGAGAGCTCCGTATTCTAATTTGTGAGCGAGTTCGGATTCCGCCTGCATCAAATGGTATCAGAGCCGCGTTCAAACTCAACGGCGATTTGAGGTATTTTATTTCGTTTTTACTGTTCACGAAGAAAAAAAGTGAATTTTTTTTGTTCACCAGCCACAAAGCTAAACAAAAGGGGGGGGGGGGGGAGAAGATATCTTGGATTTCGGTTGTGTATTTGTTGTTCAAATCAGTGGCAAGGAGAAGAAGATCACAAGCTATGCTTCAAGACATGATTGATCCAAAGTATGCGGCGGACGTGAACGCGTTTGTTGAAGGAGAAAAGAGGCTAGTTGACACCAGTCTTTGGAAAGATATGCAGAAGACGTTGGCTTTCCTAATTCAAGCAACAACCGTCTGCGATGATTCGGCACCAACTGGGTTCCACGATTTTTGTGCTCCGGTGCAACAGAGTTCGACTGATTAAGAGGAGGAGGGCGAATCTGGAAGCAGAGACATCATCGATCAACTGTCCAGACCTGCAAAAGGAATATGGAGATTCCTACAAGTTGGTTGAGGTGGAAAGGAGAAGTTCATTTATCGTAATATTTTTTACGATTACTATGATGATGAATTCTCGTGTGGGAGTCTTCAAGCTTAGAGTTTTGAAAGCTTGCTTTTGAGAACTGATTCCTTTGGATGCAAGAAGACAGATTGTTGTGGCTTGAATCCGAGGAATGAAGATGTTGGACGAGGATATTCGAGATTGGACGCCTTTGAAGAAGCCGGTTTCCTTTGGAAACCCGGATGGAGGGCTCAAGGGGTGGACTACGACCACTTGAGCTTCCAAGTTTATGATTTGGAGGTCACGTTTGATCGGTTGTTCGAGCTCTTAATTCCATGGAGTTGTGGAGAATATTTGTTATTTCTTGATGTTGATTATACAGGAAATTTCGTTTGGAAGCCAGGCTGGAGAGCTTTGAGGGCAAAACTTCTTCAACGAGGAGGGACTGATGTTATTCCCGCAGAGGGGATTACCCGGTCGGCCACGGCAAATTCCCCAACCGGGGATTCATGTATAGAGACCGGATTTTTGGTCCATTCATTTTCCCCGACCAGGACTGTAAAATACCCAAGCGGGTATTTGGGCAGGGTTTCAGGTCTGTCAGAGTTTTGTTACCTTTTTCATTTAGAATTCTTTTCATTTTTGGTGTTTTCATTAGGTTTATTTTCCATACCTATTTAAAGGGTTGTAAGCCACGAATTTTGGCAGATTATTAAGACTATTGAGATTATGTTTAATAGAAAAACCCTTTTGTTCGTGAGTGTATACTCTTGAATGTGAGTTTGGTGGATTCCAAGCTCGTTGAGCTCTGTATCGATCAAGTATTCCCCTTAATCGTGGTCAGGCATCTACCTTGATATTGTTCAAGCCTCTTCTCGTGTGTTGAAGTTGCACGACAATTCTTTTCAAACCTATCCTTTTATTTTTGTGTTCTTGAGAAAAATCCAAGAAAAAACCACCTAAAAAGTGAGAGTTGTGTATTTTGATTCATGAGAGAGTTCGGATTCCCGGATTCCGCCTACATCACTATAGGCAAGAAATTGATAATTCATTTTTGACGAGGGCGGAGATGAAATATGTACTTGTCGTGTTCGTTGAGGAGAAGTGGGATTTTGAACAAGTTGAATCGAAGTTAGGCCTATAAGAGGTAATTAGGGTTTGTATTTGTGATGTTTCGGTTATTTAATCTCTATCAATTAGAACTATCTGCCTATGATTAAAATTGGGCATAAAGCTCTTGGTTGGGTTAGGAAGAACTGAAATGTACTTTCTTATTGAGCTTAAACAACTCTCTGGTATTTTGGTATTGGGTTTGAGACTTTGATGAGTAGAATTTTCCTGTAGAGTAGTAGAATTGTTCAACACGACTTGCCTTATATTGATTGCAATTCAAAACTTTCCTGCTTTGACATTTTTCCATTCTCGATCCTAATGTAGCATGAATGCATGAAAGTTAGGCTTACAATCCAGGTGTTGGAAAGAGTACATTGACGTTGTAGGTATTACTCATCTAATTCATCTAAATTTGAATGTAATGCCCTTACCTTTAGTGGATCCGGGGTTTTTAATTGTTTCATTCACTCTAACTTCATTTAACTTGAAGCTAGCTATAATCACAACAAAGGAGAAGATCATGGAGAATTAGCTCCGGTTATTGTTGTCACTGAAAACCACTTTCAGTTTCATTAATTAGTCTAAGTCGCTGAAATGGATTGGAAGCCTATGCCTTCATGACGTGGTGTTATGCTTCATCTTTAGAAGTCCATATCTACGTCCTATGTGAAAAATGTGATTTTATTGTCAAGTTCCATCTATATTATCATGGTACAGAAATTCCTCTTAATTTGTACTGTTACTGATCCAAAAGGTGATTTGCCTGTTCTACTTATCCGGTTTTTGTTCACTGGGTTTAAGAGTGTTCAGTTTATTGGGAATGGAGTTGACCGTACGGAAGTTGGAACATAGTACCTTTACTTGTACTCATGCATTGAAATTTAGGTACACATTCTCAAACTTGTTTTAGAGAAAGACAAATTTGCACTTATTTCTTTTGTTTTCCTATTCTTTTGATTGTATGATCTCAAAGTACCTCCTTTGATTTCTTCCAGGATACAATGGGAAAATTTCAGAATCAATCAGCTTACCTTAATAAGTTGTTGAAAGACCAGGCGGATTAACACAGGTTGGCAGTTTTGTAGTGAATGTTGCCATGTGTCAAATTATGCTTTTTTATATTTATCTCTATTGTAGCTTCTCGGTTGGATTTACTATACTTGCCGCTGGTAGCAGGGGTTTTAGAAATTTATGAGAATATAAAATTAAAGTGATTTTAACTGTAGTTAAAGTTCTCTTTAAATAAAGTTGAAGGGGTTCAAAAACCATAGCAAAAACGCTTCAAATCACTTGCAGCGGTTTGTCTTGCTGCGGTTTTGCTGCGGTGTTTGTAACCGCTGCCGGCTCCCGTGGTGAGGGTTGTTTTCAGCGCTAAATGTAAAATTAACCACTGCTGTAGCTAATTTATTTTGTAGTGTCTTAAGGGCACGAAATCGGAAGAAGGTATAATTTATTTTTCTATAATAGTGAAATCATTTTATTAAATTTTGGTAATTGCATATTAAAAAAAAAATGAAGGCATGCACAATTTTTGTAGTTTTGATACTTTAGGTAACAATCGCTCCTTCATTTTGTTCAACCCTTCTTTTGTTACTAACTTCCCTTTCCACCTTGTTAGTAGCACTCAGCCACTTTGCAATACATCGATCAATCCTCAAGCACACTATTCGTGGAGTTGCGGCTACATTCTTGAACATCCTCGAGTTTCTTTCAAGCCATAGACACCACAAGTCGGCATGTAAAAGGAATATTATACACCATTCCTTTAGGATTGCATTATGCATGGTTGTTTGGCCAGACCGTAACGGTTGCCTTGAAATCCAACGGAATTGTTTTTGAAGTTTACAAAGCATCGCATGGCCTTCCATACCTCAGTGATGAAACTTGAGGTAAGAAAAATGCAATTAATGTCCTCGTCATTGTTTGTATATGGATGCATTTGTTCGGCCCATCCCCTCTCCTTCAGAGTATCATGAGTTAACATCTTCTTTTCGAACACAAGCCAAAGGAAAACACAAATCTTGTGAGGGATTTGCGGATGCCACACCACCATGTATGAAAGTCAGTAGCCCCCCGTTTCCACTCCTTCAAGCTTCCATGTAGTGAGTTCATAGTGAACCCTATTTGTGGGCATTTCCCAAACTACTATGGTACACTATAAACAAAACAGTCTATAAAGGAAATTAATTAGATGAAATGATTGTATTAGTCTCCCGTAAATTGCAAGGTTAGTCACTGAAAATATTAAAAAAATTCATGTTTGGTCATTAAAAGTATTTTATTCCATTCATGGTCATTGAAAGTGGTAAACATTTCATGTTTGGTCACTCTCCGTCAACCTCCGTTACACCATTAGTATTTTGCTGACGTGGCTAACAGAAATGTCGATTCACTCTTTTTTAACTCGCCACGTCAGACCCTCTGCATAAACCAACCTAATCCAACCCCTAATTCAAGCCGCTCGACCCGACCCCAGCCACCACTATCGCCGCCTGCCATTCCGCCTTCCACCATCGTA